CAGTAAAACTATGCAAAGCCATGAAAGCGTAAACAATGCTTGAACCCAGATGACTGCTGCAGAATCTGAAATCAATGCAAAATTCAGTTAATGGTTCATTGTGTCATTTTATCAAACATATAGTTTACGATACCTAATGGATTGATACCGAAAAAGATTAATTTTTTTTTTATGGGGATCTTCGATAAATCTTTTGGGATTACTGTAAGTGCATCAAGCTAGCAAAGTTTTGAAATTTCGATGTAAATAGCTGAAGTACGGGAGAAGAAAGAATTGCCTTCCTCAAGAAATTTGAGAGGATTCATCATAAAATAGTTTTGGAAAATTCCTCCCGTGGTCCCCAACCTTCATTTTTTTAAGATCATGTCCCCAACCTTTTAAGTCGTGCATGCAATTTCTCCATATAACAGAAAACATGATCGCATGACACACACGATGTCATATTGAAAGAGTATATTATCCAATGGAGCAAAATTTGGGACTTGTTTGAGCACCATTATTTTGTCACAATATATTTTGAAATAGCGATTTGATAGAGAATGCGTGATTAAAAAATAAGAAAAAGATTTGAGTTTGCGTGTAATATTTTTTTTTATTAAAGAATGTGTTGTTGAAAAAAAAAAGACAGGAATCAAACAAGTGTTAAGACTTGGACACGAGCCGAACACAAGTGTGTACGATCGAGCCAGCTCGACCCACATTGCCACCCCAACCTTGAGCGTTCAGATCAATCTTCATGTCTATTATGTGCTAGGGTCTTCATCTCTAACAAATGGAATTTGGGAAGTCAAAGGATTCAGAAATCATCCTGGAATAACAGGGATCAAACAAGGGCTAAGATTTGGACACGAGCCGAACTAAAGTGTCTATGATCGAGCTAACTCGACCCCCACTACCACCCCAACCTTGAGCGTTCAAATCAATCCTCCAGTCTATTAACAGATGGAATTTGGGAAGTTGAAGGATTCAGAAATCACCCTGAAATAACAGAAATCAAACAAAGGCTAAGATTTGGACACGAGACGAACTCGAGTGTCTACGATCGAGCCGGCTCGACCCCCACTACCACCCAACTTTGAGCGTTCAAATCTATCCTTTTGTCTATTCTATGCTACAGTTATTCATCTCTAACGGATTGAATTTGGGAAGTCGAAGGATTCAGAAAACGCCTTGGAATAGTGTCACACGTTTTCTATAACGTGATTTATGTCGCAAGCATACTATATCAAGTTTTGCAATATAGTAGCAGAGTCAAAGTGTCGAATCCACATCGATTATAATTTAATTCCTACTAAATACTATAATTATTTCAGTTTTTACTTTATCTAGAAAAATCAAATCTCAAGTCAATATTTTTATACTAAAATAATGTGAATGTGTGATAATTCAAATGAAATAAGGCAAATTATAGGAGAGTTATTAATGTGAGAAGGCCTAGAGATTGATTTCACATCACTATCAACAATGTTTTTCAACTTCTATAGTTACTTCTGTCATTTTTTTTTATTTTTTTGAATTTATAGGCGAGAACCTTAGGTTAGTTCTATTTCCTCTCTCGAGTGTTGAATAAAGCCTATTTCTATATTTTAATTCTAATATCTCTATTTCGAATTAACACTATAGAAATTATATGCGCAGATTCTTAAATGGGATAAGCCTCAAAGATTTTATATTTTCTCTCGAAATCTACAAAATCTAGGTTATGCTATTCTTAGATCACGCCTAAATCTCTCTCTATCTTGAATGCCGAAATTTAAAGTATCAAATCATTCAATTATTGATCGGGTAATTGAAAGCACTGCGCAAGAATCAACACAAATAAATTAACGGAAAAATCAAATGAATTAACTATATTAGAATCCAAACATATCTCAAGTTTAGTTACCTCAGACCCTAGTTAATGAAATTAGTTCATGAACACAAGAAACGACATATTAAAGTCTAAAATAAAGAACATGGAGAAGAAAAGAATAAGAAAAATTGTTTTGCCGCTTGAATTCTTCTCCAATTTGTTGTCGTTTTTGCTCTCAATGATTTTTCTTCTTCCTTGCATCCTAAGCCATCTCCTGCCTCCTTAATTAGGTCTTTCAGTTTTGTATTTATAGCCTCCTAAAGTATCAAGACGGATTGAAGTTGGACCGGGTTGAAATTTTTTATAAAAAACTCGATTTCCTTTTTCTCGAGAAGCGGCGCCACGGCACTGCAGCGCGTGGATCTTCTGCGGGTTTTTCCCAGCTCTCTGCTATATTTTGGGGCCCAGCTTTTTGCTATTATTTACTTGCCTCCGTCCTCTATTCCACTCATTTTCTTCTTCTTTCACCTCCTCTTCAAGTCAAATTCTATGATCAACATGTGACTCCATTCCAAGTTCCAATATGCATCATTTTCTCAAATTTACCTAAACTATAAAACAACATGAGCAAACACATCAAAACACTCAAAAGTGCTTAAGAACAAGTCGAAAACTATGTTTTAAAGGTATTAGTTCAATGAGTGATTTTACACTCATCAAATAGGCTTCACAACGTCAAGAGTGGTAAATTTGGATCTCACCCTCTCGAAGTGGATTTCCATTTTCTCCGTTCCTGTGTTCTGGCGACCTTCCTTTTTTATTGTAGAGGATTTTGTGATTTTTCAGCTATTTCATCTGGTCATGATTTTCTTTTCGGGTTCTATTGTGTTGTGTTTTGTAACTTTTGTTGTAGGTTTCTTGGGTGTGAAGAACTCCTTGAAGAGGAAAACAAATTATCAGGTTTAAGACCATCTTAAACCCTGCATTAAAATTTGACGTAAGTTTTATATCATTTTACACCAAATTTTGCATCAAACTGAAAATTAACTTCAACCCATTACACCAAAAGTTGCACGAAATTAACAATGTTTAATTATTTTCTTCATTTTTTTCATTATTAATGATTTATTTATATAAAAAATTACTTAATTTAATACTATATAAATTACTAAATAAATAATTAGATTTCGTTAAAGAAAATATTGAATACATTAATAAAT